TTAGCGTGGTCTCCGGAGAACCTTTCTAGCTCCGGAACCTTGTAAGCTAACGACCTGGGACTGCTCTAGAAACGAATATCTCAGTCCGGGCTACCTGCCTGTCGTCTCAAAAGTTAAAATCCGAAACGTTTTCAGTGGTGTGACATCTTCGCAAGGTATACCACCTGCAGGTAATTTTGGGACAAAACTTTTTAGTTTTTCTTGTAGCCCCAACATTTTTCTTTTAAACAGCGAAAACCGCAACTTTTTAGCTGCTTCCTAGAAAAAGTGACCATCCTTTTTCTATTTTGAAATGGACAGTAGTAGTAACATGGCACAAGCATTTGCATGCAGCAGATTCTTAAAATAAAAATCACTATAATTACTCCGCATTCAATTTTTTGATTTTACTTGTGATTTACTAACGTTTCAATTTTAACCAGGGAAAAAATCGGAATTCTGCATATAATTCTCAATTAAAACTATGATAAAATAAAACTATGATCGTTTTCATTAAAAGTTATTCAAAAACATATTTATTGATCTCGGTTTCTTGAAACAAATAGCAATCTAGTGTCTTTCTAAAATTAAAGGTAAAGGTTGGTTGCAGGTATGTATTGTTTTGATTGATTCGTATAGTTTGAAGTGTCTACTTTCAGAATCTATAGTGCTTTCGGTTACAGAAATGATTTTTCGTGACTTTCGAGCAAGTTTGAACTCTGTAGCACCTTCCATCAAAAAGTTCTCGGCATTTTCCCACAATTCTTAAAATTGAGCATTTTGTACAGCGTTAAATACAGCGTTTCTCTATGTTTCTCATTTACGTCTATCCATCTAACGTTTATATATGCGAATTTCGACATTCAACGCTCGTGCGCTGTTGTAATGGATCTCTGTCGCTCTGCCAATGACGTTCTCTCAACTGGCAGAACCGCCTCTGTCACTCTGACAATTATAATAATTTTTTGCCAATTGGCAGAAAATCATGTGATATTAGCGTTAGATTATTCATTTTCTTTTGTTAAAAAAAATAGTTGGCTAACTGATGGAGCACCGAAGATATGAAAAAGGATTAAAATAACCTATATTTACAGTAGACAAGTCTTCATTATTAATAGAAGAAATTAATGTATGCTTTCTCTTCCTCTCTGTATGCGAACTTCATTGTTATACTAGTTAGTTAGTTTCTTCTTCTTCGACTACACATGGAGAAAAGAAAACGCTCACAAAATGCATAATACGATGTAGGTCACTATAAGATGATGTGTAATTTGAATGGATGCTGGATTCAGAAGAAGCGATAACCTATAAACCATAAAAGAATTAAAAATTCTCTAAGTTTAGTTAGAAAAAATTTAGCAGCAAAAAGCTAACAGAAAGAAAAGAACAATGAGCAACTGTCCGTTGCAGGAAAACATCCGATTATTAAATTAATTGAAGTCATAAAGAACACTTTGTACAGCATTTTCTCTACATGGGAGTTACACCTGAAGTATTTGCCAAGACTTTTTAATATGCTTCAAGCTAGAAAGTTCGGGTTTGTTTTATTTTAAACTAGACACCTAACCACATGGGCTGACCGGCGCCGATTTTTCAATTTGGTTTTTTTGTCAAATTGAGGATTTCTAGAAGACCAGGAAGCGTTTTTCGGGTTTTTGAGATTGTTAGTTGTCTACAAGACGAACAAAGGCTTAATTAAAAACCGGCGCCGGTCAACCCATGTAGTTAAGTGGCTAGTTTAAAATAAAACAAACCTGAACTCTCTAGCTTGAAGTATATTAAAAAGTCTTAGGAAATTACTTCAGGTGTAACTCCCATGTAGAGAAAACGTTGTATTTAACGCTGAACAAAGTGTTCTCTATGAATTTGATAATCGGATGTTTTCCTGTAACGGACAGTTGTTCATTGTTCTTTTCTTTCTACTCTAGCAGCGTACGAGTGCTGAATGTCGAAATTTGATGATATATAAACGTTAAGATGGATAGACATAAATGAGAAACGTAAATGTAAATGGAATATTAGCAAGTGATAAAAAATTAACATTAACCTTAAAGCTAATATGGCATCTGTTTTGTTACAAGCGTAGATTATATTCTTAAACAAATACCACGGTAAATATACCAACAATGTAGAATAAATAAATTTTTATTCAGCTGTTGAAACCTTACTGTCCAATAATCATTATGAATATTGATACAGACCTTTGTTTTTGCAATATTTTTCAATACAAAGAGACTTGAAATAAAAGGTATAAAACACGGGACTAATATTGTATAAATTCAAATATTGTAATTATCGCATCAAGGGATTTCGCATCCATTTTACATCGACATTTGTCGCAAATGTCGAGACATACCTCATTTAAAAAGCCCTTGAGCCTTAGTAGGAATATGTCATTAAAAAGTTTTCAAAACATTCCGAAAAAGTCTGGAGGAGCTCGGGTATTTTCGGATTTTTACGGTTCCAACGCACCCTTTGTACTCTTTCTCAAAAATATGAACTGAAAATGCATGCTCATATGAAACAAATGCCGGCAGCGGCCGCATGCGCAAAACATAAGTGTGCGATGGGCAGTAGACGGTAAGGTTCTTAGAGATGAAACCGATACAGTGTAGGTAATCAACCATTGCGAATCAGAAAATGAACATGAATGATCTCTACAGGTTGTAAAACATATTTATTAGCTTGAACAAAGTCGAATTTAGAATCAAAATAACTTCCACGTTGCCGTTTTAACATTTCTCTTTTGATCTACGCCAGAACCAAGGTTTTATTGTGAATGGAGAACGATGAAGAAATTTTTTAAAAAATAGCTTCGAACTGAAAAATTTAACAAAATTTTTTAGGTAATTTCAGGTAATCAATGTTTTTCCGAATTATACCGGATGCACTCCTTCTTTAGAAAACCTTCTGACATCGATCACCGATGTTGATCAAGTCTCTTGCCATTATTGATTTTTTGAGAGAAAATAAGAGGTTTTAGCTGCTGTTCGCTTTTTTAGTTCTTTCCTTTTCTTTTCCTTTTTTCTTTATATCAAAGACGATAACGAGAAATCATCTGTTTTTACATTAAATAAATAAGATTAAATTAAACGCAATGTTCCAGTCAAAATTTACTGAATGCTGCTTGGTGCCAGTAGAGAAAATTAATTTACAATGATCATATTGGCTGATAGTTTTTCTTATATGATAATATTTTCATAATTGTTAATGCACAAGATGGTATGGTGACGGCTATATTAATACCAGATAGAATTGTAAAAAAGATGCCTATACCAATTGCGTGATAAATGGGTACCGCCACTGATACACATATCCCTGCAACACAATAAGATAAACAATTATTCGCAGCGGCAATAGTTGCTGCATGCTGCTGCTTTTTCACAGTTAAATATGAAAAAACTTCTGGACGATATAAGGCTTGTCCGAAAGCCACTAAACTGGTACTCAGAATTGGCACAACAACACTTAATTTATAATATATCCCCAGCCATACATTGCCAGTCCAATTGGAATCAAAACAAGACCTACAAGTCCCGGTACTAGTCGACCTTCTGGTATATTGTTTGTATAGTACTTATTTGCTTTGTCAGATAATCCTCCTCCAAGGAGGCACCCAATAACCTCAGCTATGCTCACTGGAATATAAGATATACTAATTTCTATTTCATCGAAAAAATAAGGATTTCTGGTTAATAAAGTCGCTAACAAAATTTGATTAATAATCATGCACGCAAATGCTACGGTTGTAGATATTATATACGGCAGAATTGTTAAATCAGTTAAATGAATGAATGGTAACCATGGTTTAACCAGTTTTGGTTCTGAAATATCGTTACTTTCAATTATTTTCTTCTCCGAGTATTTTACAAGAACTTTATACTGATGGGTTTCCGGAATAATTAACACATAAACTACTAGTATAACAGTTGAAAATATAGCGAGGAAAACAAACGTACTTCTCCAGCCGTGTAAATAGGATAGTACACCACCAATTGGAGGTCCCAATATGACTCCTAATAAAACTGGTACAAAAAAAATACCTTGTCTCTGTTCACATGTTATGTAGTCAGAAGGAGCACTTTGATTATTCTCAGACCAAAAGCTTTCGCGAGTTGTTTGAATATTGCATGTTTGATTATCGAATATATGAACATCAATGGTAGCCCATCCACGTTCATCAGGAGAATAAATATCGGCTATTACACCTTGTCCAACAACCATTGTGGCGGATATCATAGCGCCTTGTAATGCACGGAATATAAGCAAGTGTTTTATGCTTGGTGCATAAACACAAAAAATCAGAAATATAATAAATAATCCTAAACCAATTCGAATTGTCAAGTTTCGACCATATCGATCAGAAATGACACCCCATATAAGACTACTAATACCGTTAAATAAAAGAAAAATAGACACACTAAGAGTAACCAATTCCTCATTTGTTTTCAATTCTTGTATAATATTATTCATTGCTGGTAAATATATAGTGTCGGCAAGGGGCAAAAGTAAAACCGCAACTGATATCCAAAATAAGATAACTTTACGCTGAGATTTGGTGTGTATATCATAAATACTTATTTCATCAACTATAGGTGCTGACAAGTCAACATTTTTGATTTCTTTTTGTTGTTCTTCTTTACCATCAATGTTCGAAAAATCTTTAATCATTGTTTCCATTACAAACTAAAAAGATATGAAGAAATATTTAGGAAGCTTATTTCCGAACGGCTTGAAAAAAGTACAAGACTTCCACAGTAGAATGCTGCAAAGGACACGATTAAGGTCAACATGCTTGATGTTTGGACGCAAAATAAACATGCTGACTTTAATCGAGTCCTTTGTAGCGTTCCACTATGGAAGTCTTGTACTTTTTCCACATTTGTGAGTAGAAAGTATGCTTACGAATTTGATGTTGAAAGACTTATTTAATTTGATCAAAAAGTGACTGACTTATCAGCAGTTGATTACACAACAAAAGTTTACGGCTCTTTCCGTTCGCTTTTGTGTAGAGAGACAGCATACAACAAATGCGAATAAAATATCAATAAAGATATATCTTAGATATATGCATATCTGAATGTTAGAGGCCTATTATAAAGCCGTTTAGATGCGAACCAGCTGCTTATCTCTGAAAATAATATTATGTGATTATTACCCGATACTGTTTTAAGTGAAAATGTACGCTTTCTTCCATTCAAATATCTACGCAATGGTGGAATCATTTCAAAATCAGTTTAAATGTAAAAGTATGTACAATGCGAATTGAATTGAACAGTGCATTTAAACACTCCGTCGTCTGAATTGTAGTTTATCGCCGACCATACCATACCATCAATATAAAGTTCTTGTAAAATACTCGGAGAAGAAAATAATTCCAAGTAAAGATATTTTAGAACCGAAACTGGTTAAACCATGGTTACCATTCATCCATTTAACTGATTTAACAATTTTGCCGTATATAATATCTACAATCGTAGCATTTGCGTACATCATTGTTAATCAAATTTTGTTAGCGACTTTATTAACCAGAAAATCTTATCTTTCAATGAAATAGAAATTAGTATATCTTATATTCCAGTGAGCATAGCTGAGGTTATTGGGTGCCTCCTTGGAGGAGGATTATCTGACAAAGTAAATAAGTACCATACAAACAATATATCAGACGGTCGACTAGTACATCAATGTTTTTCTCAGTTAAATAGTGGCAGGGGACCGAATATATTTCGCAGTATCCTTCACAAACTGGGAAGGTATAAAGTGAACCTAAACGAGAAGGGGGGCTCCCTTTAAACGACCAGTAGTGGAGGTCTAAATTAAGCGTTATTGTGCCAATTCTGAGTACCAGTTTAGTGGCTTTCGGACAAGCCTTATATCGTCCAGAAGTTTTTTCATATTTAACTGTGAAAAAGCAGCAGCATGCAGCAACTATTGCCGCTGCGAATAATTGTTTATCTTATTGTGTTGCAGGGATATGTGTATCAGTGGCGGTACCCATTTATCACGCAATTGGTATAGGCATCTTTTTTACAATTCTATCTGGTATTAATATAGCCGTCACCATACCATCTTGTGCATTAACAATTATGAAAATATTATCATATAAGAAAAACTATCAGCCAATATGATCATTGTAAATTAATTTTCTCTACTGGCACCAAGCAGCATTCAGTAAATTTTGACTGGAACATTGCGTTTAATTTAATCTTATTTATTTAATGTAAAAACAGACGATTTCTCATTATCGTCTTCGCTATAAAAGAAAGGAAAAGAAAAGGAAAGAACTGAAAAAGCAACTAAAAAGTCATAAGAATCGTTTATTTTCTCTCAAAAAATCAATATTGGCAAGAGACTTGATCAACATCGGTGATCGGTGTCAGAAGGTTTTCTGACGAAGGAATGCAGTATCTATTTCGATATACAAAATATTACTGGCAACATGATCAAATAGTACACTCGGAAAAGTAGTGTTTCGATGCATCTTCACTACCATCACCATAATTTCATACAACACAATAAAAATTCTTGTTCTTTTGATAATATACTTAGGACATACTAAAATTACGGGCAGTGACACTTTAATACTGTATATTAAGCTTCAAGAAATTGTCTTTCTGTGCAGGCTGATAGAGAAAAGAATGTATGTATATTTTTCTATGCTATTTGATCATACTTCAACTAATATAAGAATAATAAAATTTTGATAAGATCGGTTTTGTTTACTTAAAATACTCACTCGTACTTTTTTCAAAATTAGTATGAATACAACCAGCACATAACCAGCCGAAATAGGTTTTAAAGATAATTTAATATTATGATATTACTTGAAGTACGATCAAATGGCATAGAAAGACAGAGCTTTTTTTTCTCTATCAGATTATATAGACTAAAGTTACTTAAAGCCTACTATACGGTATTAAAGTGTCACTGCCCGTACTTTTGGTATGCCCTAAGTAATAACTGCTTTTCTTTCTGAATATAAGATTTTTTCACAATTATCTCCCGGATCGATTATATCTAATACGCATTTTGCTGCTATTACATTTGGAAGACCAAAATAATGTGAAAATAAGCTATTCTTGTTCAGGAATATATCAGAAATCAACGCCGGTATGAATGAGGATGATGGTTTATCTTGATAAACTACTTCGGTACCTGATGATGCAGAATTATTAAGTGCTGATTGATTACTCTTTGATCTGGATCTTGTAACTAGATGTGATTCGCCAAATGCATACGTAATATACCATTGGCATATTGCACTATTTTTTATAAAACGTAGTAAGACAAAATATTTGTTATACGTATTTGATTTTTTTTTTAATTTTATTATAGTATATGTTTCTTGCTCAAACCATAGATACTCATTAAGAGACTGTCTTTTATAGAATGAATTAATTTTATGTAAAGATATATAGGACAGTGGAAGTATAGTTAGAAATTTCTTTGTTTTTGTTACAACTGCTGACGTTGATAAATGTAAATTGACTTATTCTTCACATAGCTTAACTAGTCTTAGTATACTTCCTTATTCGTCCTTGTTTGAAACTGATCATATTACGTTTCGTACGTAAGAAGCTCATTGTTACATTTAGTCGAAATGATCATTTGTCTTATTCACGATACTTTCGTCTACACTCACTCATAAATCAATGATAATATAGTTTATCTTTTCCGAATGAGAATAAATGGAACTGAGTTATATGAATATGTTGCCGTTTGACAGTTCTACTTTTCGACACTGTCGGATTTTTCGCTCGCAATTCGACAGTGTCGAAAGCCTATCGAATTTCGAGTGAAAACTTTCGACACTATCAAAACACACTGTCGGAACGTGTTTCTCTCGAACTGCGAAATTACCTGAATAATCGATTCTTTGTAATGAGCCATAATAATGGAATGAAAAGAACGAAGATGAGAAAATTCATCTCATATCAAAATTTGATGGTTTTTTTCTAGAGAAGCATACCTCGAGATTTTTATATATTCGAAATCAGCGTGACGAGTTACGTTGTACGGCGCAAAGATCTCGTCGGGGTATTTCCGATTTTTGGAGTCTTTAGACTCCACTTAGGTTTTCACGGTATATTACACTATATTCAACTGTACACATCAAAC